CGGGGGTCCTCACAGGTCGAGGCCTGCGCCCCTCTGCGCTGGCGGGCAGTGGCGCACGAGGGCCTCTCTGGTGGGCGCGCACTTAGTGGGCCCTGGAAACGACAGGGCCGTTTTTTTACCGGTTCCGTTTTGCCGTTCTTTTGCCGGTTCCGACGCCGTTCTTTTACCGGTTCAGTCGCCGTTGTCTGACCGGTTCCGGCTCCGGGTCCAATCCTGGAGCCGTTTTTTTGCCGTTTCCGGTCGCCGTTTTTTTTTGCCGTTACCATTTTCAAGGGACATTTTTTTTTGGAAACGGTAAAAAAACGGCCCTGCTGCTTCCGGGGCCCACAAGGGGCGCGCACTGCAGGCCAGATCGCCCCGTGGCGTCCGTCCTCGGTGCCCGGGCCCCCACGGAGCGCCGCCTGCGAGGGGCGCGCCCTGCGGGCGGTGGCCCCGGCTCGGTTCCGCGCGCTCCGCGGGCGCCTCCGCCAGCCACACCTCTTTGTTGCCGGCCGAGCGCTGCGGCCCGTTTACCAGCCTGGAACGAACATAATCAGGAGAGGAAAAAACACAGACACAATTAATCCTCGACCCCCAGAAAATATGGAAAAATATGGGAAGTGGGGGGGAAGACAAAAACCAAGAAAATGTAGGAAAATATGGGGAATCTTTTTAATTGTGTGTATTTATTTGTGTGTCCTGGGGCCCCTTCACATATCCCTATCCCTATGCTGGGCACCTCCTCGTCACGATGCCAATCTTCGGGATTCCCAGATTTTTTGAGGGCGACTCCCTAGGATGGTCATCGCCTTTTGGCGTGTCAATCTTAGGGATCGGGATACGGTCGAGGCTGGTAACCCGTGTCTCGCGGTGTCGCGGCGCTGCCCTTCGCCAGTCACGGCTCCGTTCATCGCGCGACTGCCCCGGCGCCCTGCTTTTGTGGTGCGGTCGCGGCCCGCCGTGCCACGAGCCGATCGCGCGTCTTCTCCCTGACCTTCAGAGAGCTATTTCTTAGCACTGGAGGCCTAAAAACCAAAAAAACTAAACGAAACAGCCTAAAACCACGACGTAGAATAGCTCTGGGATAGGTGTTTAAGTCGGGTGCCATTTTGTAGCCCTCCTGAAAGGTCAGGGCTGGGGCACTGCCCCCGACCCCCTCAGTCCAGTTCCTTGCCGCGGGGCTCGGCGCCGCGGGTGCGCGTCGGGTGCGTGAGCCCAGAGCGCACAGCGGACTGTCCGCTACCTTGTGCCGCTTCCCTTCTCTCTCTTCTCCCTTCTCCTTCCTTGCTCCTCCCTCCTCCCTCCTTCCTCCTTCCCTCCTCCATCCTGCCCCTTCACAAGTACTCGATATGAGCACTACTCGCCTCTCTACGCTAAAGTTGTCTGGGGCGTGGTCCCGCCCCCTACGCAAATGTTGTTATCATGCACGAGGTTTTGAATTGATATCTCCAATGTTCTTCTTTACCATCCGATTGTTGTGGGTCTTCAAAATGGTGTTCCCGCTGCAGCGTGGGCCTCTTTTTCGGGATCGGCGCTTTGCTCCCGTCGCTCAGAGTGGCGCTCTCGCTCCAGCCTGGGCCACTTTTCCGGATCCCACAGGCCTCGCAGGTCCCACAGGTCTCGCAGGTCTCGCAGGCCCCACAAGTCCCACAGGTCCCCTCCCGTACAGCCCACAGGTGTTGCAGGTCGTCCCTCAGGTCTCACAGGTCCCGCAGGTCCCACAGGTCCCGCAGGTGTCGCAGGTCTCACAGGTCTCATGGAGGTCCCCCAGGTCCCACATGTCCCACAAGTCCCGCTGGCCCCACAGGTCCCGCAGGTCCCACAGGTCACAGAGGACCCACAGGTGTCGCAGGTCTCACAGGCCCCACATGCAACATAGGTCTCCGATATCGCACATGCGTCACAAGTCCCTCAGGTCCCACAGGTCCACAGTTCCCACTTGCCTCACATGCGCCACCTGCCCCACAGGTCCCACAGGTCCCACAGGTCTCACAGGTCCTACAGGCCCCACAGGCCACAAAAGTCCCTCATGTTCCACAGGTTCCACAGATCGCACAAGTCCCACAGTTCCCACCTGCCCCACAGGTCACACAGGTCACCTTTGCTGCTATTGCGGTGCTTTGCTGGGGTAATGGAGTTCCAGGTCGGCTATGACACGCGGCCGCGGATATATGATCATCAGCGTAATGGGAAGGGATGGGAGGGAGGGAAAGGATGTCAGATGTGGCGCGGATGCGCCTAATCAGCTCCCCCCCTCGCTCCTACTCCCTCCTCCATCCTCGCTCTTCCTGCTTATCCTGCTTGTTCACCCCGACTCTCCCTCCTCCACCACACCCTCCTCCTCCTCCTCCTCCTCCTCCTCCTCCTCCTCCTTCCCCTCCACCCTTACCCCCCCACCCTCGTCCGCCCCCTTGGGAACACATCCCTTCCTCATTCTCCCGCTCCATGCCTGTGACAGGCGTTTGTGGAAACGAAAACGCAGGAGCTCCAGAAGCTGGAGAAGGCTTACAACGACGGCCAGGATCGAGAGCCACGCAGTCGAGTCGTCGATTCAGATGCAGTTGGGCCTGGGATTCCCAATCGGCTGCCCGCTTCGGAGTTCCAACGAGGTGACTAGCCACGCCCATCGCGACAGTCAATTAGAGGAAGGGGAGGCAGAACAAGGGATGAAAAGGAAGAGGAAAAGGGGTGGGTGGAAGGGAGGGGTGGGAACGGTGCGGACCGCGGGGGACGTGGGGAGGGGAGCGGGGCAGGTGGAGGAGGAAGACGAGAGCAAGAGCGCTGCGCGGGGAGAGGGAGGCAGGGGCACGGGTGAAAGTGAAGCGAACGCAAATACAGGGGGTAAGAGGATGAGGAAGGAGGATGGGAATGCGAGGAGGGGGGCGGGGGCAGGTGGAGGGGAGGAATGGGCAGGAGGAAGGGAGGAATGGGAACGGAGGGGTGAAGATGAGGATGGGACAAAAATACGGGCCACGGGCGATAGGGACTGGAGGCGAATGTTTGGAGGAGGAGTGGTGAGGAGAAGGGAATGGACGGGATGAGGCTGACGATGGAGGGAGGTGAGGGGAGCTAGGCCAGCGCCTTCACGCGGCGCTTGAATGATCTCATTGCAGCTGTAGGGCCCGACCTGCCCCAAGGGCAACCGTCGGGTCAAGAAGAGCAGCCGGCGGGTCAAGATCCACAGGTCCAGAGCGCAGCCGCCAGGAGGCCGCCGCACGATCACCATCGGCAGAATTGAGGTCATCCACCTGGAGGACCCTGGAAGTGCCACGAAAACCAGGCGCGCGAACATCGCCACAGACAACGTCCTTGACCGACCATCTCCAGCAGGCGATGGCCGAGGCGACCGACTTGCAGCTGCAGGGCATCCTCCAAGCCCAGATCGCAAGTATCGAGGCCCAGCAGGAGGACACCATCAGTTCGAGGTCACCACCGTAGAGGCCATGAAGAAGGCGGGCGGAGTCTGGCTTGCCGCAGTCAACAGGCAGGCACAACCAGCTCGTCACCAACGTACGGAGGCTCAGGGAAAGCCTCAGCAGCGCCGAGACCAAGGCGGCCGCGGTGGCGCTCGCGGTGGCCAAGGCTGCGCCCATCAAAAAGAAAGCGGCCACCGCGCTGGCACAGGCAGAGGGGGTCACGTACAAAGCCGCGACACCCAGAGGTAGCAGTGATGAGCAGGGCCCAGTCGTCTCCGTGAGCTGGGACGCCCCTTTCTTCGAGGCCACAGGGGTCCTCGAGTTCGAGGACACCGAGAGGGTCGAGCTCAATCCGTTGAGCTCGGGCCCCGAGGAGCTCACGAGGCAGTTCGCCACCAGTGGAGCGCAGGTCCAGACGCTCATCTCCACGGCCCAGACCGCACGGAAACAACAGCAGGGACGGCGGACGAAAAAGCGGAAAGGGCGCCGACGGCACCTCCGCGTCGGCGCAGCGCCCAGGAGGGTGGCGGCTAGGGCTCGGCCGAGAACGTGGACCCCCCAGGACAAGCCCAAAACCGACCTCGCCGAGGCGCCTGCGGCTGCGGCAGCCGAGGAGGCAGCGTCCAGGGCCGAGGCAAACAGCCCTTCGGCCGCCAAATGCGCACCTCGGCGGCAAAGGAGTCGTACTGGCAGCCCCATGTGCTGCAGCAGCGGCCTCGTGACTAGGCAACGTTTTCGCGCAAGGCGACCGTACCCGTCCAAATAGTCTTTCCCATGATAATGTAACGCGCATGGGCGACAAAACATGGGAATCTGCTGTTTGCCACGCAGGAGATTTCCTGGGCCTGGCGGAGACGCGCGTCGGAGGTGGATTGCCCGCGCTAGATCTCAGAATCCACGTCTGTTCCACACTGCCGCCCGCCCTTACATTTGACCGACCCTGACTGAGGGGAGGATGGGTTCCGTCGCATCGCAGTCCGCCTGCCACGCCAACGAACGGGGCGAGTGGCTCCCAGTCAGAGACCTCCTCCAGGCCTACATTTGTCTTGAAGGGATGCCTGCACCTGCGTTGAAAGCTCGGCCGGGCCCCATCCTAGACGGTGTGATTCCCAGCGTTTTCTACATCCGGAGCTAATCAGTCATAGCGATCATACGTATGGGATCTGTAGTGAAGGACAGACAGGTCCCGACCTAAGTGCATTCAGGCGTCTCGGGGGCCTCCTTAGGGCCCTCCAGTTTCCCTGGGCTGTCGTAGGGGGTTGGAATCTATTTCCCCAGGCCCTGCCAGCCTTGGGATTTGCGACGGGGGTCGGAGGTGTCACCGGGTGCGCCGACGTCGAATACGCGCGCGACCCAGGTGGAGGCAAGAAGGCCTCATCTCTAGATTCCATCGTGCACAGCTACGCGCTCCAGTCGCACATGCAGCGTGCCGCCTTCGCTCATGATGCACCGTGAAAGCCGTGCGCAGCATTCATTGATTATTCAGTTCGTTGGATCAGGCGAGCAGCTTGCCGCCAGGATCATGGAGCCTCCTAGTCGCCTGTCTTCCGCCGCTCGTCCCGCGAAAGCCCCCGGCGCAGGGCCCTGACCTGGCGATCCAGCATGGCCGAGGCCCAGCAGACAGAGAATGCCGCCGAGGGACGGGAGCTTCGGGACACAACTGTCCGAGCTGTTTGTGGCGAACTCTGCCAGGGGGGGGGCGGCGGCGCGGCCTCCGCCCGGGCGGTGGAATCGCCTGGCGAGGAACGGGGCCCTCTCAGCCAGACGAAGAGTCTAAGGGGGGGATGATCCTCGGGCTAGCGAGGTTGTTTCCAGGCCAGAGACGCCCGAGGCCGGCGGGTGGAAAAAGGTGCTCCGCGCGAGGCGGCCGCGCCAGAGCATTCGAATTCTTCCCAGCGTGAGATTTCTCCGTCATTTGCTGAGGCCCAAGGGTCGGGGTCCACTTGTGACAGCCAGACAGGGGCCCCTCGGGCCAGCCTAGCCAGACAGCATCCAGGATTTGCCGTGGTCAGCGATCTGGAGCCATCGCCGGGAGCAAACTGGGGTGCTGAATCCGGGCTGCTGCTGCCTTGTTGCTGCCGCCGGGCAGTCCGTGGTCTCTCGGCCCCAACCCGACGTCCCCGCGCGACCTGGGCGACTGCGCGGCTCTTGGGTCGCGGCTGCGGAGGCAGACGTCCACGGCCGCCGTGAGCAGCACCGCCGCGGGCGATCTCGATCAGGGGGGCCCTGGTTTCGGGTTGCGACCAGAGCAAGGGCGCATCGGCGCGGAGGGGTCAGGGCAGCTTGCGGCCGGCATGATTCGCGACGAGGGCGATTTCGCCTGGCCGAGGTGGTTGGAGGTGCTCGGGGCTGTTCGCGCGACTCCTGTTGAGACATTCGCGGGCTGCGCTGGCGCAGCCGAGCGCCGCGCTGGGCTGGCCCAACGGCCGCGCCGCCAGCAAAGACCCGCGCGAGATCAAACGATAGACAGTGACACCCCCTACCCTAGACATACTCCACAAATCTCTCAATCCCCAGCAAGCCCCAGCAGAGTCGCGGCCAGTCGGCTACGCCGCCATGGTTCACCCGAAGGAACTGCTGGACCGCGAGGTAACCAGCTGGCGCCAGCCATGGGCCGCCGATGGCCGACGCATCGTGCGTGACAGAACTTATCGAACGGATCCAGCCTCGCATTCAGGAATATGATTGCCGCCGCTATCAGAAGATTGTACGACGGGCCCTCCGACGCCAACTGTCATCCACGGGGCTCTGCGCTGACCGCTCGAGCCCACTGGATCTGCTGCGCCCCCCGCGGGGGGCCGCGGGGGAAGTGGCGTGTCTTGTCGGCGCCGTGGGGAGTTTCAGATGCGGCCGCGTAAATTATTGGCGGCGATTGGTGCGATGCGGGCGAAGGACAGCGGCCGCCGCATCATGGGGCTCCTCCCTGAGGTTGCCCGTTCTTGGTCCATGTGCCGCGAGGGCGCCGCCCGGGAGTGGAACTGTTTTGTTTCGCCCGCGGGGGCGCGGCAGTGCGAGGCCACTCGACCCTGCGAGAGGCCTGCGAGAGGGCTCTGCAAGAGGAGCCCACCGCGCGCGTTCAAGTACCTCGCGGGCATGGGCAACGCGATACTTTCTGTTTTAACGATTCAACAGCATGGGGGACCTCGGCAACCGGGTCGTGGGCCTGGACTTCCCCGCGGAGATTCGGGGTCCTCGCGGGCCCCCCCGCAGACTCCACTGTTGCGCCGAGGGTCTTGATTCAGAGCGGCGGCTGCGCGCCGCGATTCCAACTGGCGAACTCGGTTGCCCAGGGCCTCCAGGCAGGCGCTCCACTCGCGAAGTGCATGGCGTTCCAGGCGCCCGAGCGAGTCGCGGGGCCGCGCGCCCGACGTTCATCGGATCTGCATCGGCGACCTATCCCAGAGGGCGCAAGGGTCCCATCGTGCCCGGCGACGCGGGCAACAAAAATGCTGATTCGAGACATGAAATGCACGGAGCAAGCGTGGACTCAGCATCGCCAGGGCGAGCGTCATCGCGTGCTCCAGCATGGGCGACGCGCGGCGCGTCGATCGCAGATTGGTTCGACGCGGTTTCAAGATGCAACCCCGACCCGAGGCCGCCAATCTAGGCGTCGACCTTGGATCGGAAGTCCGCCGTGCCAGAGCCGCGCGGTCGCGGCGACGGGCCGAGCGCGGGCTCGCGCATCGCGAGATCACCCGCCTGGCTCGCGCCGCCAGACGACGTCATCTCACGGCCGCTTGGCTCAGCAAGGTGCTCGAGCAGCAAGGGGATATGGGCATGAACTGTGTAGCGCGGTTGGCGCCCAGTTGGTCTTGTCCGTTGCCGCTTCGGCGGCGCCCTGGGGCCTCGACTCCAGAGCAGACGCCTCGCCGCGCTGTGAGCCTCGAGGCTGCAGGCCGCGGCGCAGCCAGGGATTCTCTTGGAGAAGCCATCCAGCAGAGGCTCAGCACCCTGGCCCGGGCGGGGCCGACGGTCGTCTCGCGCTTTCGAGCCCTGCCGGAAGCCGATCGGACACGACGTGCGCGAGGGCCTCGGCCCGCCATCGTTCTCCACCTCGTGGAGCAAGGGCGGGGTCCTGGGCGGCCGCGCGAGCGGTCTCTCCCAC